AAATACTCTTCAGAGCTCCTTCAGGGACCCTTGGGAGAAACTCATGTAGCTTGGACAACAAACACCCAAATGGAGGCAGTACAGAGAGCTAACAGCTCGCTTCAGAGACACTCATACATCTTGGTCCCCAAAGTTCCTTGGAAGCTATGCTCAGCAGAACCAGAGTGAAGGCACAGCATCTTCTCACTAAAGACGTCCCCTCCCACTAAGACCCCTTTATTCACAGGTTCCTCTTTATATTCTTTAAACTGAATAGTTTCAAGATTCACAAAATAGGCTTAAACTATTGCCTTTGAAAATATTGTGAGGTGCTGTCCCACCCACTTTGAGAAGTAAAAAGCTTCTATATTGGAGAGTGGGTCTTAAAGGCCTTGAGAAGAATACTGTTCTAATATCTTTTTAGTCTATCACAGGGCAGGTCACTCGACTTTTGGGGGTCTTAGCTTCTGTAAACATAAAATCCAAGAGTAAATGCAATTTCCTTCGAAACGGCCAGCTGGGTCTCCTGCCAACATTTCATCCTATAAATCTTCCTCCCATTTGTGTGTAAAGGGGCCCCATTTACCAATGTGGCTGTGTATTGGAAGGAAATAAACTCCCAAGACTTTCAGGAATAGTGGACCCTGGCTCCTGAACTGTGTCTTATGTACCCAAAACGATACTGTGGTCCATGGTCACACTGAGGCCTTTTTCACTTCTTTGAGAGACTGGTTTGTTTTGAACCTGGCCAGTTTAAATCCTTTACATTTCCTTCAACTTCTATTTTAATACAAACTACTTCCCTCTTTAGCTTATCTCTTTTTGCACCTTATAATTAGCAGCTGAAAGACAGTAGTTGACATTTTAGCATTCTGCTTGGAAATCCCGTTGACTAAATTCATCAAGTGACTTAGTGTTATTTAAAATGTTCCATGCTGTCACTGGTCACAGCTTTACTGAGCAAACTTTCTTCTTCATAGCAAAGGCCAACCTTCCTCCAGTCTAGGAGAGCACTCCCTTATTTCCCTGAGCACTCACTGAGGCCCCCTCAGGCCTGTCACTTCTGTGTGGCCATCTTCTAGCAGTCCGGACTTCTCTTCTAGAAGACCCTGCCACGGAGACAGCCAAGCACCAAGAGCCTTGGGTTGCTCCTCCAGTGTAAAGGGCAGCTAGGGCCACTTCGTTCTCCATGGGTGGTTCCCAGCCCAAGTGTGTGCGAAGATAGGTGGCATGGCTGTTTCTGTCTAGCATGTCCATCTTCAGTGGCTGATCTTGTGCTGGAGCTCCCTGCAGGGCTGATGGAGACTTTCTTGGAGCTATTCTACAGGGTGTCTTTCTAGCCAACCCCTTCTCCATCATTCTACAAGTGTCAGGCCTGTATGGAAATTTGGAAATCTAAAGATTTTCCCTGCCCTTTTCTCCTTCTCCTTCTTCATCTTCTCTCTCTCTTTCTTCTTTCTCTCCCTCTCCTCTCTCTCTTTCTCTCTTTCTTTTCTTTCTCAGCAATTCCCAAGAATTTTCTTGCACTTCTTGGTGTCTTTCTTAGAGGATCTCAATGCATAAGCCTTTTCCAGGTCCTTTCATCTTGATTATTTACAAGTAATGATCATATATCTTAGAGGGTTTTTTTGTGATGGGAGCACTCTACTTTCTATCACCCAAGCTGTTTTGATTCCAATGTGACAGAGAAATCATCCCCAAATTTAGTATGTTAAAATAACCATTGCATTTTGCCCACAGTTTGGTGGGTTACATTTTGGCTGACCTGAGATGATCAGTTTTCACTTGAGATCATTGCTGCTTATGCTGCCAGGTGCTGACCAGGTCTGCAGTGGAATGAAGCCTTGAATGGATTGGATGCTGGAGACTGCACACTCATTCATCTGGAAGGTAGTGCTGTTAGCTGGAGCACTGACAGGTATGTTAACTGAATGCCTATTTGTGGCATTGCCAGTATGGAGGTCCCAGAGTAGATGGCTTATTCCATGATGGTTGGATTCTCCCAAAATAACCAAGCAGAAGTACTATGGCCTTTTTTGCCATCAAGTGGTATGGCCTTGACTGCTATGTGTCATCGTTTCTGTTGGTCACTAAAGCAAGTCACTAGAGTAAGCCCAGATTCAAGATGAGAGGGCAGAGATTCCACCTCGTTGTTAAAAGAGTGTTGAATAATTTTCAGACATGTTTTCAAACTTCTCCATTGATTGATATACAATAGCCAAAGCCCAAAATGAGCCCTTACAAGGGGTGCTGTGATACTTTCTATGGATGAGGTCATGTTCCCTGGGGTAGGATATATGCTCTGAATCCTCATCCAGTCTAGGGCATCGTTTCTCCCATAGTCAAGATATGTGAATGTGGGGCCAGTAGATCAAAATGAGAGTGGACTTCTCTCACTATTACCCTAATGGTTAATGAGCTAATATTTTAATTCCTGTTCCTACAATGTTGGGCTCTGCACTTCAGAGGTGTTTGGTCCAAAGGAAAGAGTACCTCCTTTCAAGAAAACAATAATGCTATTCTCTAACAGGAAGTTGAAACAATTTGGCCACTTGGGGGCCCTTGTGCCAGAAAGCTGACAGGGTGAATGGAAGTTTAGGTGCTGCCTAGGTGACATGACTGCCCCAGGAAAGTGGGACGGGTGCTACTCACAGAGGGTAGTGGGAGAACAGGGGGGAACAATGCTGAACTGCACATGGTTGTCAGGCAGTGCTTAATACGTCCTCATTCTGAGCTGACTAACAGTACTGTTGTGATTTGGATCTGCACTGTTCCCCCCAGTTCCCTTTGTGGAAAGTGATTGGATTGGTGGGCTACAGCTGACTTGCTGTTAGGAGGTGGGGTCTGGCTACATGTGGATCACTGGAGGCTTGATGTGGAAGGGTAGATCTCCCTCCTCCTCCCTCTCCCCACTTTCTTGCTGCCATAACTTGAGCAGTTTTTCTCCCCACACCCCTTCCACCATGCTTCCTCCCCACATCCATTCACCATGGACTGAAACCTCTAAAATAATGAGCCCAAATGAAGTTCTCCTTGAATTTGTGGGCATTGGATATTTTGTTTCAGTGATGAGAAAGTAACCAAGAAAACACTGAGAGAAAATTGACCTATTATAGTCAGGGTTGGTAGTGGCAGAGAATTCCCAGGAATGAGGTTGAGCGGCTCCGCCAAGACAGGAACCACTGCAGGTTAAGTGCTTGCTGAGGGAAAGGTAAGATAACAGGGAGTGGGAAAAGGAAACTATAGATACCATTCACCAGCTACAATCATGTGATCAGCTCAAACAAAAGCTAGGCTTGTCCCAAGCTTGCCTCTGAAGAGCTGGGCCGTGAGCCTAAGGGCAGCAGGTAGGTAAGCCACAGTTTCAGTGAAGGGGTAACTCCCACAGATTTGCCCATGAGCTCTTTGGCTTCCTTCAGCACCTCCGGTCCATGCAGGCTTGGCATGGTCCCTTTGCACCTATCCACTTTCCCCAGTGCTCTATGTCTCACTTCCAACGCCAACCACATCTGTGTCAAGTCTCATTCCCACAGTCCAACCTTCATTCTCATCATGTTTACAGTGGCCCAGTTTTCCTAACTGGTATATTTTAGAAATGGTACATTTTGGCTCTCTGCTAAGATACTAGCAAAGCCTTCTTTACAAACTTTTCTGTTAAGAGAGAGGTCCTATCTAAAACAGCACCCTATTTCCTTCACACCCTTGCTCTGTCTCATTCTACTTTAAAGATCTTCTCACTGACTGATGTAGTATTTTCTATATACTTGCTGGACTTTTTCTTTTTTACCATTTGTATTAATCTGTTTTGCATTTCTTCAAAGAAATACAGGAGGCAGGCTAACTTTGTGAAGGGAAAAAAAGCTATTTAGCTCACAGTTTTGGAAGACAAAAATCTAAGGTTGGGCAGCCCCAGTGTTTGGCCCCTGGTGAGGGCCCCACAGTAGATGCTATTACATTATGGCAGGCATACATGCATGAAGAAGGGGTCACATCTCAAAACAGGGTCCTAGAGATGATGCGAGGGTCAGGTCCAGACTTCCATATCAGCTTCCTGTCATGGGGACTCCAGGAGACCAGCATGTCCCTCTGAGGGCAGCACCCCCAGTGGCCTAGGACTTCCTACTGTGCTCCATCTAGTAAAGGCTCCACCACCTCTCAGCAGCCCCACCCTGGGGACCAAGGTCCCCACACAAGCACCTTTAGGGGCCTACATGCAAAGCATTTCCAAGCCATGGCACCACAGGGTCTCTGATGAGCAACTGTAGCACTCTGGACTTGTAGCACTCAAGAATTCACTGAATAAATACTTGATGAAGCCTGATTTAAATGTTGGTGAATTGTGACCAGAGTGAAAATGGTTTTTACCATGGTGTATATGGAATATTGAATTTATAGTGTTCTAGATAAAGAAGATATATTAAAAAATTGAAGAAGAAAGTAGAAGAGGAAGAGTATGGAGGAGAGGGAAAGGGTGAGGAAAGAAAAGAAGAAAAATAAATGAGGGAAAGGAATAGGGAGAAGAGGAAGTGGTGAAGGAGGATAAGGGCTTCAAGGGCCTGTCTGATGATGGGCTAGGTGCTTTCCACAGGAGATCTTGGGACAAGCTTATGAATGACTCTCCTGTCAGACATGAAGCCAGTAAGGCTGGGCAGGGCAAGGACTTGCCAAAGGTCTTCATAGTGACTCCACTGGGATCCACATTTGGGCACGTAGTGCCAAAACTCGTACCTCACCATTCTACCATGACACCTGAGAAAGCAGACATACCATCAGATCGAAAAGTAGAACCCTGTTTAAATCACATTACTGCATTCCAATTGGTCTGAAATTATAATTTAACTTCTGAACTTGACCAATTTGCTCAGGTACCAGTTTACTAACAGGTCCTTTTATCTATGACTTAATCTATTTTATAAACAGGCAAGTCAGTGATTTATGATCAGTTTCATGTAATAGTTCTATCATTTTACTGAGTATTTTCACCAGCCACCCTTTCATCATAGACAAATGATGAGTTATAGCACATTTAAATTATGCATTTTAATTTTAAAATCACTTAGGAATATTACTATACAAACTAGGAATTAAAGCATTAAAGTGGTAACAATGATAAATCTGTTTGTCCTGTGAATGTCATGCACCTACTCTCTGCATTGAGCAGCAGGTCACAGCCAAAAACACTGTAGCCTCATGTTTCACATCAGTGGAGGAACTTCAGGATTATCTTCGAAGTCTGGATCTTCCTCATTTGGTGCAATTTGGGGTTCAGATCCCAGTCTTCTGGACGTGTGCTTCTTCTCTTGAACTATGGATGTCACATCGGGGAATGAATACTTGGTAGGATCCACTTCTAGTTTCTCAACTTGCTTTCTTCTACAGCAAAAGAAGTAAGGAGAAATTAAGAGCACATCATTTAAAATTAAGTTCCAAAGAGATTCTACTCATTTGTTCATTTATTCAGCAAATGTTAGCAGGGGGTATCCATACATTACAAAGATAAAAATAAGAGCCTGCCCCTGGCTTGAAATAGCTTAGAACTTACAGAAGCAAGATTCAGACCCATGCATAAATAAAGCATTAGAAAGTGCTACAGAGGTCTGCTAATGCACAGATGGTTGAAGTTACCTGAGAGCCTCTGTTTACCTAAGAAAATTTTTTGACAATTGAAATGATACAGCAGGTAAAGCCACATAGGCAGGGTCAATGGGGCTCACTCTAAACAGGTCTAACTCTTCAATGTGGTTAATCAGGCTTCCGGCCCTTGGTGCTTCACCCAGTCCCGCCTGCCGTGTTTGGCAGGGCATATAGACTACAAGTTCGGGTACACAGCAAAACTCGGTCCCTCAGCTTCCCCTCCCACAAGAACCTGCTCCTACTGCCTACACCTAGTTCTCTCAACAATAGCAAGAATAAAGCAACTAGGCAGAACCCCATTAATCAATGAGTTCCAATATCATGGTCATAGAGAGCGCTCTAGAGATGACCCATGTCCCTGGGATGCTTTCTTGGCAATTTTTACTCAATGGGACTGAAGCTGCACCCACAGCTCTGTGTTTTTATAAAGTCCCAGACTGAGTATGATATTCAGTCAAATTATTTTGGAGTCATTCTAACATTATTCATTCATTTATTTGGCAGGTATGTGTTCATTGCCATAATCTGCCAGGGGCTGTGGGAGGCAGCAGAGACAGCACAGTCAGTGCAAGAGATGAGGCTCCTGGTGACTTCTGAGTGCAGCACCATGCTCTGGCAGAGAATGCATTAGAGCATCATGTAACTGTCTCATGACTGGCCTGTTTTCCTACAGAACTGACACCTTGGAGGCCTGGGAGTTTGTCTTCTTCATTGTGTATCCCTGGCATACAGCTGTATTGAATAAATATTTTTGAATAAGTGAAAAAAAAGCATTGTTCTATTAGAGGAGCTATGAGATTATGTTAGAAATTATCTCTGATGTAAAAAGATTACAATCAGTCTAATTTGGAACTCCCAACAGATGTCCTTAGACAAAAATCCACCTGGCTTTCACCTTTTGTTGAGAAGAAGAAGGCTCAATTGTCTTTTGAAAGTGTAAATTCTCCATTGTTCTTGAAAAGTTCCCCCGTCACTCTTGTTCTCTGCACGGTCCTTGTGAGCAGTTGAGTTTTTAATTTTTTGCTGAAGAAAACTACAAAGTACTGTAGAGCAGTACTCAGTTCAAGAACACTTTTGTTTGTAAACAATTTGGTTCACAAACAGAAGCATTTGGCAAAATTTCATCTTTGTCTGCAAACTCTGCACCTGGTGACAAACACAACTGTGGCCATCTTTCCTACGTGAACATGAACATGGCCATCTTTTGCAGAATCCTGGAACAAGTTAACTTCATGAACCAAAGTACTACTGGACACAAAGGAAAAAAACTCTTGTATTCCTGAAGACCCTGATTGCACCTATACACTGTAGCCCATTCTCTCCCTGTTCTGGGCTCTTGTCCTGAAAATGATGAAGTATGAAGTCCACAGACAGTGGTAAGAAACAAACTGAGTATAGTTTATTAGAAAGAACAAAGAAAAGCTCTCGCTAGCCAGGAGGGGCTGCAAAGGAGGACACTGAGGAAATACCCAAGTTCAGGGCTATTTTGGTGGGTGCATGAAAATGAAACAATGCGGTTGCCACTTTTAGTTAAGTTTCTGAGGTTGTTGAGCTATTTTGGTGGGTGTATGAAAATGAAACAATGTGGTTGCCACTTATAGCTAAGTTTCTGAGGTCAGGAAAAGCATGCTTCCCTTGCACTCCAACTTTCCAGGGTTTATCTCCGTTGACCCAGGTCCTTGTCCTTTGAAATCAAGTTCATGCCATTTTTAGCTAGTCCTCTAACATTAGGAGAACAGATTTCCCCACCCCCTTAAGCGAGCCCCTTTCCTTTGTGTACCAATTTTCCCAGGGCTCATTTCTGTTTACTCAGGATCCTATCCTGTCTATCATTTGACTTTCTCCTGGTCTCAACACCATGAGTGCTACAGGAGAAAGAAGAAATCAGCATGGGTCGTGCACCCTTTGAACAGGTGAAAAAAGAACTGAAGATGCACTGAAGGAATGTCAAGGAAGAGGAGAAACTGAAAGGGGAATCCAGTGCTCCAGGTAAATGACTGCTTCCCAAGGCAGGTCTACAACTTCCCTTCTCAGACACCTCTGTGTAGTGGCATGCAGACCTCTCTGCCTTTAAATGTGCCAAAATATATGCCTTCAGCTATGACAATGCTTACTTAACATGAATGCACAGCAAACCACAAGGTTGGTGGCTGACTGTGCAGAAAAGAGTACACACCAGGCCCAGAGAGGGCTAGCTTTACAAAGGCCTCCGAAGGGGCTCAGACTGATCAACAGTCCCCTCTGCTGACATGAAACCTTTTCTGTGCAATAAGGGTGGCTGGCTGTGTCCAGCAGTGTGTGCAGACACCGTGGTTTGCACTGTTCCTCTCCAGGTGTAGAACTTTGGTATGTGCAAGGCAGAAGGTGCTTTTCAGCTCTGAGGAAGACCCACAGCATTGAGTTTCCAAAGAGCAACTCTCATGTTAATGAAACTTGCTGCTAGAGGCACAAAGCTTATCCCTTGAGACTCCACAGGGAGATGACTCTTAGGAGCATACTGGGATTTCTTTGGACTTCGCCTTTTACTGATGTAGCTTTCTTTTCCTGTAATACGTATTAGCCATGAGTACAACTATGTGCTAAGTATCGTAAGTCCTTTTAATGAATCACTGACTGTGGGACTGTCTTCAGACTCCAGAAACACTAGCCTCTGCTAAACCTTGCGCTAAGCCTTTTACTTATGTTATAGAATTCTCATTTGGATATGAAAAAGAAATTAAAGAGGTAAGAATTAGTGATAATTCTTTGCAGATATAGACAAAATCTAAAAGAATTCACAGATACATTAGGAAAATAAGAGATAAGTCAAACTTCTGAGTATAAAATTAAATGTAAAAGTGATGAATTACATAGCAGTGATAGAATACTGCAATCAAAATAAATGTCACTGCATTGCATACTTTCAAATGGTTGAAACGGTCAGTTTGATGTTTGTGTATTTTGCCAAAAAAGCAAATTGTAAGTCTACCTACCACCAACAGACAATAAATAATATAAATATATTTACAATAGCAAAAATATCACACATCTGAAAAGTGCTAAAGCTTGGGTACACTTATGGAAAAAATATCCTCTCTCAATTGATCCGCATGTCACGTCTACCTTCAAATCAAATCCCAATATGTATCTGTTTGTGCATGCATGTAGGAGTGTGTGTGCATGTGTAGGAGTGTGTGTGTGCTATGATTCTGATGTGGTTTGTAATGGTTGACACATTGTGTCAACTTGAGAAGTTGAGAAGCTTAACTAAGTAACTCAGCAGTTCTACATCCCCTGTAAAAAGGACACGGCTTTACCACTCTAGGATGTTGTTCATTGTGTCAACTTGAGAAGTTTAGAAGTTTAACTATTTGACTCAGCAGGGGGCCAGGGTCCTCACTTTGTATTCATCCTGAGCCTGTGCAAGAGGAAGGCAAGGAGATGATGTGACTGCTACACCCACCCAAGGGTAGGTCGCCCACATACAATGTAAGGGAGAGAAAGGGGCTTGCTCTTCCTCCCTTTTTGCTCTTGCTGTTTTTGCTATCGTCCACTCCCATGAACTGCTGCCCTCTGCCATGTGCCACCCTGCCTTGGAGCCAGCTAATTATGAACTGAAACCTCCACAAACTGTGAGCTAAATATACCTTTCCTTCCTTAACTTTGGGTGTTGGGTATTTTGTCCCAGCAATGAGAAAAAAGTAACTAAGACATAGTTTGTCCCTCTAAGTTCCATGTGTTGGTTGGGAGCTTGGTCTCAGTGCAGCCTATGGGAGCTGATGGAACCTTTAATAGGCAGAGTCTGGTGGGAGATCCTTAGGCCACTGGGGGTGTTGCGCTCCTGAGGGCACTCTAGTCTTCTGGAGTGGTTATAAAAGCCTGAAGTGACCTCTGATTCTCTCTGTTTCCTGTTTGAAGATATGATTGTTTCCTCATACATGCACCTCCACTACGATGTAACACAGCTGGAAGGGCCCTCATCAGAGCTGAGTGGATGCCATCACCATCAGCTCACCTACCAAACTGTGAGATAAATAGAACCTTTTTATCTGTAAACTTACCCTGCTTCCAATTTTTTCCTTTTAGTAATGCAAAATGGACTAGTGTCATTTGTGTGTGAAATTTGACAAGTTTTTTCTACAACTTATATGGAAGTGCAAAGGGCTAAGAAAAACCAACTCACTCTTGAAGAATAGGGGAAAAGACTTTTCTACCAGTTTTAAGACTTATTCTAAAGCTATATAAATTAAGGAAGTGGAACAGAATAGAGTTCAGAAACAGAACCCAGACCTACACTGATATGGATGCCTAATCTATAACACAAATGGCCTTGATGGCAAAGCAGAAAAGACAAACATTTAAATAAAAGTCACCAGGACAGGAAGGTATCCATACTGAATAAAATTACGTTTCCACCCATTCCTGATGGATTATACCTAAACATGAGGTAAAAATATAAAACTGTCTAAGATAAGGTACTGCCTACCTTTATTACCTCAGGGTAGGAAAGGATTTTTAGAATAAGGCAAAGAAAACATTAACCATAAAGTCACTCTTCTTTTATTATTTTAAAATTAAGAGCTATTCACTAAAGACGCCTTGATAAGAGTAAAAAGGCAAGCCCAAAATGTCATGGTCCTGGATCCATCACACATCAACTTCACAATCATAGGTAAATTCAACCTTTGAGAATTGCAGTGAAGTAGAGATAGCAGTAGTTATCTTTCACTTCAGTTTGGAAAGTTAAAGAGAATGTGTAACATCATGTAGTACGGAGTCAGCATTCTGTGAATATCTTCACTTCTGAGGAAGTTGTGAATCTCCCTTTGCATCAGTGTCTTGAGACTGCAATCAGGAGTCACCACTGTCACCTTCTAGTCCTGATGAAGAGAACCTTGCCCCGTTGCTCTGCTTCCTCATTTATTCTGTCTACACAGAATACTCTGGACAGGAGAGGAAGGAAGCCCCTCCAGCCCACCCAGAATACCACTGCGCCTGCCCTCCTTTCCCCAGGCCCTCAGTCCGGGCCAACCACAGTGCTCCTGTGCAGCCTTAAGAGGCCGTTGTTTGGACGAGGTCGCCCAGCCAGAGGCAAGGGGCACAGTGGCCTTTGTCAACAGCTAAGGAGCACTACAGACGACCTTCACATAGACATCTTATCGGTGGTTATGATGTGAGCATTTCTCAGAAATACAGGTGAAAAAGAAAGGCTTTGCAAAACTACTGTGAAGAATTGTGCTAAGATGTCTCAGAACCCCTAGTGTAATCACAGTAATGATAGTTTTCCTGGGGTCTGAAAACCAGTTCCAAAATGTTTGCAATGATTTGGCTTCCCCTCTCTGTGATTCCTCACAAATTAGATTCAGTCTTTACGTGCATTAAGAGTACTGGGGGTTAATTATGACAGTGAATATTCATAACAGTCATGATACCCTGGAATCTTTCATCTGCAATGGAAATCACTAAGTACAGAAATAGGAGTGGATTCCAAGATTAAAAACAGTAACCTACTTCTCAGAAGGGATTCAATTCCGTACCTGTTGTTCAGACAAATCCCAGACTTAACAATCTCTATAAAACTTCAACAGTTACCTTTGGATAAACCAATGCCTGACTTCTTTATTATGCAAAACATAAGTAAAGCTAATGTTCAGGTATTTTTATGATGATAATTCTAGCATATACATTTCTATAACAAAGACAGTCTACCTCAGTTCAAAATAGATTTTACCATCTGGATGGTAAAAGTCTGGAAATCATGGGAAATAGCAGGGTGGTTGAAAGGGCTGGGATCTCATTCTATAGGAGAATTGAGAAACAGGGTGCTTCGTGCAAAACACTCCGTGAGCTATCCTGTTAAGGGAGGTTGGTCTTGGCCTGAGGTTCTTCAGGTAGCAGAGCTGGGATCTTTATTTAGCAACTGGAGAGAGGCAGGGAAGACATCTTATACTGGGGAAGACTGAGAATGGGCGACTATTCTTCTAAAAGGAAGAGGGTCTTTTTTTGTAATTTATCTGTATTTGTTACCTCTTAAAGCAGAATGTGACCTGGGAACTCCATTTCCCACAGGCCTTGCTCCAAATTGTTTTTCAAACAGCAGTGCAGTATTCCTAGGAAGTTTATTTGATTCCTCTAAATAATACTTTTCTTTGGAAAACAAGCCCCCTGGAGTTTCAGCAATCAAGTTGAAACTACAGGGAAAAGTTTTTTAAAAAGTAGATCCTATAAGATCAAAACTCCAGCTATTTTAACAAATATTCCTTAAAATATTAAAGATATCTTAACACTTCAGAGGCAAAAGACTTGGTCTCTTAAGGCATCCAGCTTGATAACTAAACATTTTAGAACTCACAAAGTTAACAGTAAACTATGTCATACCACAAACATCTCAACCTGTTAAAACAAACCAAGGTGCACCTAGACATAGCACTGCTAGCCCTGCTTTAGCACCTAAAGTATCACCGCACCACTTAAAAGTATAAAGGAATCTTCCCCTTAAGCAGTTATCATGCCATTCAGACATATAAGTTAACAAAATCCTTGAAAATATGTTATCAAAGGGAATCAAGGTAAAGCACTGAGCGTGCACCTGAGCGCATCATGTTGGAAAAGGAATTTAAGCAAAGGCCGAAGATGATCATTGGTCAAGAAGGCAGGGAGGAAACTCTCGCACCTGCATGGCCTAAGCTTTGAGGAGCCTGAAGTGACACATGGATCACAAACGGGAGGTGCAGAGGAGCAGCGGCATGAACAGCACTCATTGGAGTTCCCCCAACATTTCACAGGCACATGACCTTCAGGACACTCAACATTTCTCCCTCCTTCAGTTTCCTCTCTGCACAGAGGGTAAAACTGTGAGGATGAGACGTGTGAATGTGGAGAAAGCACAAAGAATGCCTGACACAAAGCAAGTGTTCAGTAAATGTCAGAAGTCATTGGCGCTGATGTCATCACTCTTATTATTTTCATACGAACCTGGGACCTGTATGGGCACAGACTGGTGTTTCAGAGATGAAGAATATTACAAATCCAGAATCTAAGGATTTGGGTATAAACATGAACATGCATAGCATGAAATATTTTTAAACTTTAAACAATTTTGTCATTTTGGGAGCTGTACTCTGGCCAGCAAAGGATAATGTAGAGAGCAAAGTGATAAAGCTCAGGGAAGTCTCAGATGTGGTACCTGGTTGGTGTGTCTTTTCTGCGGCCATCCGAGGTGGTCTTCACAAACTTGGTTGTTTGATGACTACCTGTGATTACTTCTTCTACCTAAAATAAAAATACAATGCATACCAAGTGACATGTCACTCCCTGACATATGCTCAGAAATATACATTATACACATATATGTAATTTTTTAAAGATACTAAAATATCTTAATTTTTTCTCTACATTTTCCATAAAAGAGTCAAACTTAAGGCCCCTACATGGTACATAGAGGTGATATCACAAATTGTACCTGTTCACAGTTGTCTTGCAAAGTAAAGTCATAAACTATGCAACAACTGCAGAACCAGGCAAAGGGATTTGGTGAACACATTTAACGAATTTTTCCTGAGAGTCAACAACACGCCACCCCTTTCAGGAGAGAGAGGGATGTTGAGGACATAGCTTGCAGGCAGTGGTGCTACAGTGGCAGCATCTCGAACTGGAAGCTTGCACCCTCATCCTAGCACACTGCACCTGGCTTAGTTCTCGCTGAACATGTGAGGGGATCAGACCATGAATTCACAGGTCCCTTCTTCATCTGAAGAGTGCTGTGATTCTACTTCCTTTAAACTAAACAAGTTCGGTGTTAACCATGCTGAGGTCACAATAAATAAAGCTGATTGACTCCATTCAGCAAACACACTGCAAAGATCATTTTGACTCTGCAAGCTCCCTGGAAAAGCTCATCAGATAACAGTGTGGAGAGAGAAGAGAATAATGCTTACACTCACCAGGCACCAACTGCTGGCGAGGTACACAGCTGTAAACACTACATAGAGAGGGGTGTATTTACCCGCTCCCTACCTCTCAATACCGTTCCTAGGAGCCGAGAACTGCTCCTGGACCAACAGAAGGAAATTTAAAACTCTTTCTTCCAGTTTCCAGGGTCCAAGGACCAAGGCAGGGGCCTTTTGGCCTTTCCTTTCAAGGGGAATGACCTGCAGTGGACATCACACTTCTGTTTACCTTCAGCACAGCCTTCTCTGTGGCAGAGGAATGACTAATTCACCTGACACATCTTCCTGGCAGGCATGGTCACCATTCTAAAAGGTGAGGACCATCTGCTTTCTTTCTCCATTCTGTCTGCGACTTGGTGTGCTGCACAGCTGTGGTTCAGGTCCACACAACTGGCTAAGGACAAAGCCTCTGCCTGGGCTTTGAGATGGACCACCTACCTCCATCTGCTGGCTTGGGCAAGCATGCTAGACACACAATTGGCATTTGTGAAGGTAGCTAAAGGTGCTAGTGTAGCCTCTACCCTACCCAGGAAGGTGATTAAATTAATATGATGTGTGACTGAAAACTACAGTGTTTAATTTTTAAAAATTTATTCTATTCAAAGGCACTACTTTTAACCCTCCTCAAAATACCTCCCTTAACTTTAAACACACATATAGCCACTTTCTGAAGCAGTTCTGGAAGTTCTCTTTGGTGACTGTCTTTAGTAACACTGTTGTGGCTGCCTTGATGTCCTGAATGGATTCAAAATATTTATCTTTCATGGTCATTTTGATGCTGGGGAAGAGCGAGATGTCTTAGGGTGGCAGACTGCTGAATAAGGTGAATGAGGGCACAGCGTAATCCTTTTACAAGCCTGTGGACAGCCACCTCTCAATGGCAATCTTTCTTCAGTGTCACACTTCCTTCAGCGTCATGTGGCACTGTAAGAACACCATTTTTACATAATGTAGCTGTATACTTTCTATCACATCTATAAAAATGAAACATGAGTACACATGTGTGATTTAGTTCAGCTCCTGCATACAGGAGACCATGAACACAGGTATGTATTTCTCTCCCCAGAGGCTTTGTGGGAGGTCTGAGTGTGACGAGGAAAGGAAGATCTGCTTAAGTTCCACCTTTCAATGTAGCTTTTAAACACAAAACTGAGGACCAATAATACCCAGAAGCTTCACAAATTTTTTTGCAGGGTCATATTTTGGCTAAGCTTACAAAGGAAAAGAACAATGAGTGCTATACTGTTAAAGAAATTACATGTCAAGGCTGGAAGAACTTGTTTGGAAATGTTTTATAAGAGGTAGTCTGCATCACAAAAACTCATAGGAGATGGCATGGACTCATGCCACCAGAGCAGCATTCACTGAATAATTAAAGTAGGTGACTCACAGAGCAGAGGAAGATTTTATTATCAAGTATGCCTGGGCTTGGAGAAGGCTAATTCTAAAATGTTTCATTTGTCATGTTTAAAATAACAGTTAATATAATTTTATTGTTTGCCTTTGCTGGCCAAATGTGGCAGGATATGAATGTTTACCTAATGTTTTAATGTGAAAACAACTAGCTTTCTTCTGTTTCTATAAGTAAACCAGTGGGATGAATACAAATATTTCCTCATAGCTTGATCTATATTTTAAAAAGTGGAAAAAATTTTTTCAGTTACTATTAATTCCATTTATAGTTTACTAGAGCACATCAGTGTGACTGGTAACTGCAACAGAACTAGAACTAAGGAGAAAAACTAAAATGAGAGCACCCACAGTTTGAGGGGAGGAGAGAGAGGACAGAGGGGTTGAGTGATGGGCAGAGGTGCTTCCTCCTGGCAGGCTGCAGGTGGCAGGGCGATAGCAGAACCTCGGAGGGATGAGGCTGGGTGCCCTGTGTGCACCAGCACTGCATTCCAACAACATTTTCTGCAACATTCTGTGCTATCTACGCAACAGCCACTGGCTACACGTGGCTACTGAGCATTTGGAATGTGGCTAATGCAGCTGAGAAAGGAGTGTCACAATCTTATTGAATTTTAATAAATTGCTACTTATATTTACCTAGAAAGCGAGAAACAGGAGCAGAATTAGCTCCAATCCTGTGTAAAAGGGTGGTGTCTGAATTCTCCTTTATGCTCAGATACCTCTCAATCATCTGTGGTCCTGTTACCAGGGTTTGGCTGCTGGAGTCTCCTGCTAGAGGTGATTTCTAGACCTTTTCTGTCCAGAACAAAGGATTGATTGATAAATGGTAGCAAAGTTTCCTGTTTATTAAAGGTTGGAAAAAATAGACTGTGCAGGGTGAGTTTAAGTCAAGTACAAGTGAAACCATTTAACCCTACAGTGTAGGGTGAGCTATCTTGAAGAAATAGAATAGTGAGCCCTTCATGGTAACAGGTGACACTTTCCCAGCCAGTCTTAGCCATGACCTGCTTTTCCTGCCTTAGTCCTGGGCCACCAGGTCTTGTTACCTCTGAACTCTCTGATCTTCCCTTGATATACGAGGTACCTGGAACTCACATGAGAGTGTGAGAACCCAGGACCAGTAATCCAGTCTCCCTGATCAATGAGGGTACTAAAGAATGCTACCGTTGGGGCAGGGGATATAGCTCGGTGGCATAAGCACCTGCCTGGCAAGCACAAGGTTCTGAGTTCGATTCCCCATACCAAAAAAAAAGAATGCTACCATTGACTGGATTTGGAGGGCTCTAAAACCCATTCCAGCCACAGAGCTCACAGAGGGCTGGCTCAGGCCTTTGTGGGCCTTGCATTGCTGCTCAACTCCTTTTCCCCATGCTTGATGGCTTTCCTCCCTCCCCACGTGTTAATCACTGGGCGCCCCTCAACATTTTGCATGCTCATCATCTCCATCTCAGAGTGAGCTTCCCAGTGTGCAAATGCACTTTAGCACCTTTCTCATTTTAAAAATATTTTAACTACTGTAATGAGGTCAATGTTAGTTAAAATTCACTAAGACACTAGCTTTTGGTGGAGGGAGCTCTTGAACAGAAAGTACAAATTTTACAGTGCTTTACATGGTAAATGTACTAACAAGAATGGGAGCATGCGCATAATTAGAGTCTTAAAACACCCTATTTCTAACACTGTTATTTGTCACATAATAAGCACAGACAAAGATTCTCTCTGTTTATGGAAATGCAAATAGTCACAAATTTGGAACTTTTCTTCACAGGGAGTTTGTTGTGCACCAGAATCTAAATGTGTTTTTTTTTCTTAAATTATTTTTAAAAGATATTTTCAGCACAATTTTAAAGATTCTTTTAAGTTGAAAAGTTATAGGGAATTAAGGAAACAGCAATAAGAAAAATACGAACACTGATATGCATACTAACACAGAAAATTCATCTTAACCGCAGGTAAAACTCTTCTAATCAGATCTAAGTTGCTCAAGCAGAGGACTACAGGCTCCGAGATCGAAAGCTTGGAAATCCTGACATGGGTTTCCCATCATCCTGCCATCCTGGGGCACTCTTTCTCTAAGAAAGGATGCTCATTACCATCTTACTCATTTGTGCTAAGTGTGCTTAGGGGTAACTAATAGAAAAGTTGGAAGGGCCAAAATATGTTCAATAAGTTACATAATGTGAGATGAATGGTTTCCTATACCCAAAGACAGGAATGTAATCAACTACTTGAAAATTAAATTGTGGGATAGGCCCAAAAGTACAAATAAACACGTTAATGATGTTTCATTATTTTTAACTCTCAAGTTATTATACAATTGGAAACTGGGAGTGAACATGGATTTAGTGATAGAGTTCACTTTTCCACAGATTGCAAAAGCCCTGTCCAAGGCTCTTCCAATAGCTGAAAGCTGTCTTTCCAGCCTTTGCTTAGATCGTACCCTGGGCTGGGGTCTCATTACCTCCTGAGGAAGCAGCCTGCTCTCAGATGACCTATATTTAATAAAATGTGTTTGGTTGCATTACCAACTATAAAAGCTACTCAACCAAGAAATCAATTGTGAAGTGTATAGCAGATACAAGGGAGAGACTTGGTCCTTTTATTTTAGTCCTTTAGTCCTTTTTATTTAGGTTGAATCCTATAAATTGCCATTACTTGACAATTTTTGACCCACAAAACAGTAACGGTGCAAATTAGTAGTTACTTACATGAATATAAACAAGAATGAGCCAACAATCACTCCATTTTTAGTGAAGATTTTTTTATTTGTAAATTAAAAGGATGAATGGCCACGGAAAATGGGCAATATTCATAAGTACTATATTTGCAAAGAAAGAAAATATCAAAAAATTGACTTTTTAAACTTTTTCCTATGAATTTAGCCTGGCATCTTAAATAATATTGAAAGTC